TCCCGAGTCTTTCCCAGCCTCCCAGCCCGCAAAGCGCAATACAACGATATCCGCTTACAAGGCATAGCGTGTCGCTGGGACAGCCGCAAGCTATGCAACAGTGCCTGACCATCTTCCTTCTGGCCCAGGGGGCCCTTAGCCGTTTCTGTGCTTCTAGATTCCAAGAGGCATCGAGACCTATCGTTTTCCAAGAAGCTTGCGCAATTCCGCCGACACCCACAAGAGGAATGAAGTCCACGGGGCGCCCAACGAAGAGTCGCCATTTTGGCATGGTGGTGTCCAGATCACTAGCGCGACTCCAATAGAAAGCGACTTAGGGGTTTTCTGGCCGCGCCGTCGTCGGTTCACTTTCGGCAAAGGGGACTACGGGTCGGGCGGCCGCGCCGTCGTCAGAATTCCCAACCCCTCCTCTTCGCTGCAATATCCCCGCAGTTCCCCAGGTGGCGGTCGTCAGTTTTTTGTGACCATCTCCTAGTGGTGAGGGAGGTGTTTGCGTCAGTTTTGCGACCCCCCCCTTCATTTTTTCCTGGTGAGTCCACGTCGTCGGTTCTGACGGTTCTTGGGTTTGATATTAATGATTCCCCCGTGATGTGTCCAGCGGAGTGGCGGCACATGCGCATGAGGCCTCGCCTCCATGAGTGCCGCCAAGCGTGAATTTCCGGCCAGGTCCCCGGCGGCCAGGGCGCCGCTGCTGTCCAGGCTGGCGGCGCAGCCAGTGGCCGTGGAGGCACAGCGCGAGGGGTCCCGTGTTCGTGGCGTGAGCCGAGGCCGTTCTGATGAAATTTCCGCCGCTGTGCTCCACCCCTTGGTCTTTTGCGGGGCTCCCTGCGGGCCTCTTGGAGGCCTCGGGGCGCCTCTCGGGAGTCTCTTGGGGGCTTCCAGGAGAGCGCCTTTGGGGAGCTTCTGGGAGGCTTTTCGGGGTCATGATGGGGGTCTCGGGGGCAATCTTGGGGAGGAGCACTCCCATGGCCCGTTGGGGTTCTCTCTCTTGGGCCACGCTCTCGGGATCCTTTTGGGCCGCCTCGGCTGTCTCGTGACTCTTTTGGACTGTCTCGGGGCCCTCTTGATCGCCTCTTGGGCCGTCTCGGGCTGCTTTGGGGGGCTTTTTGGGCCGTCTTGGGTTTTCGGAAGCTGGAGAAGGCGAGCACGCGAAAGTTCATCAATAACCTA